CTCCCTCCCTCCCTGTTATCGTAGCTGGATGTTTGGGCATGTAGCTGTGGTCTCACTTCTCATGAAGCAAGGAAAGACATACCTTGCAAGGAAAGAAAGAGTAGAATTTGGGAAAGGGACGATTGAAACATCCAGGAAGTCTTTAAGTATAAACCACTACACTTCATGTTTTGACATTCCTAGCAAGATCAGGGAATGTGTCTCAGTAAGTACTTCTGTCTTTTTCTTGCAGAGCCCTGTGTTGTGTAAACGAACTGATGGATGAAGATGAGAAGGACAGGGCAAAGAGGTATGACAGGATGCACTCCTGGAGGAGAATTGTAAATGCTGTGTTCTCCAGTGCTTGATGATGAACTTGATCCCACTGATGTTAGAGGCAAAACTCTACAGTTTATAGGTTGTGTATAGCTGACCACAAGCAGCATTTTTTAAGTCACCATTCAGGCTTGTCACAAAGTTTGGTTACCCCTACAATGGGTTATTTGGCTGAGTGGTCCTTAAATTACATTGCTGTGCCCTCAGGATCTCGTGCTATCCCATGGCTATTTATTATCTTGAAGTAGGATTCCTGACCTGTGATCTTACTGGCATCGAGCAGTACTGTTCACCTGGGGTAGAGTTCCCATAGCAGTCCTGCTTTAACACAGGTCTGAGTTAGTCTCCTGTCAGAGAAGCACTTGGCTCAGTTCTGTTTAGTCATTGTACTCAAGTGCCAAAACAGAGATGACTGTGAACGTTAATGCTGGATCAGAAAACATCCAAATGCCAACCTGAATATGATTGGAAATGCTTTCTGCATACCACCCTCAGTCTAGATCACAGGAAGTATGTATCATCATGAATACACTTGTAAAGCAAATTAATTACTACTGGAAGAGGTTGTTTGAAAAGTGTTATTTCAGATATGAGCACTGGAAAGTACACTTTAGAAGAAACTGAATGGATTTGCTTTCTCCTTTATTGTTTTTAATGGAGGGGGAAAGCCTATTAAATATTCTTAATTTGTGGGCTGAAAACTAGTTGTAGTTTTACAGACAGACTCTTAACATTCCCAGTTTCATATATCACAGCAGGAGATTTTCAAGATGACATACAAGATTTTATTCTGCAGTTCAATTGCCTCTGCACAGTGCTGTCTCTTGTTGAGCTCCTTTTGCAAGTAAAAATCAGAGAAATTCTTCACATTTTGACATTTATGTGTATGTGTACTAACTGTAAAACAAAAGTTCATAATAATTAAGTAAGCAAAGCATGAATATGCATGAACATACTTTTCTTTTACTGGAGGAATTTCTCCCATAGCACCTTCACTATCACTGCTTTTGAAACAGTGGGCGCTGCTGCTGAAATTTATGTAAGGCTATGGTTTTTCCCAAATGAACCCAAATATGTTTTATCTCCAGGTGTTCCTTGCTGCCAGTGAGTTCAGTCTTGCTACAGGGCTCTAAGTACCAGCAAAATCCTTGTGTGCAAGCCCAGTTTTAAACAAATAAACATTCCTAGCAGAGTTTAGATTCTTGTATTTAAAGTGTTTTACTGGGGCCGGGTAGATCACCTCGCTCTGGTTTTGCTTTAGGTCCTTCATTCTGCATAGGGGTATTTATGTTTTTGTTGCCCAGGGCATCACGCAACAAATCTGAGAAGAAGAGGAGAGACCAGTTCAATGTCCTCATTAAAGAGCTTTGTACAATGCTGCAGGGCCATGGCCACCCTCTCAAGATGGACAAATCCACAATACTGCAGAGGACCATCGACTTCCTACAGAAACAGAAAGGTACTGGAGGGTCCTGGCTCTGCATCTGCCCAGCAGCCGGTTTCCACTCAGAAAATGCAAACTGTTTTTCCCAAGCATCTTAGCCATCCATATGCGCTTAAGTGAGGAGCAGAATAAGGCACACTAGTTGGCCTCAGGAGATGGGCTAGAGCTGAATACACTGCTGACCAGTTAAACATAGATTTGAAAAGCTGCTGTGCTGTATGCTTTTTACTGTGGATACCTCATTACCGTCACTGGCCTCCACATACCCTGGCTTGCTTTGTGCACTCTCAATCAGAACATGAGGAGGGAAAAGCTGAGGAACAGCACCCATTACAAAAGTCAGGGGAGAAGGGATTCTATGCCATCTTCCTAGGTCTCTTGGATTAGGAGATTATAAACCTGTCCTGCTACCTGGGAACTCACAAGAGCAGCTTGTGAAAGAGCTCCAGAATTGAAAGAAACAGCTACAGAATTGCAGACATCCTTTGCTCACAGGGATGCTCTACTACTGTAAAATTAGCCCTTTGATCTTAATTTTTTAAGGTTATCTTCAGGACTCCTAAAATGTCTCCATTTCCCTTTCTTGGTTTCTAATGTATTTGTATCATGATGGCATGGAAAATGTCTGTTACATGTAAGAAGGCTTTATGTGAAGATGCGGATGATTCCTCTAACAGCCTCTTTAAAGATATCTAGTGTTACTTGAAAATGAAAAAATCCAAGTAGCATGAGTCATGTTGCTTTTTTGACATTTTCTCTTTAAGAAATCACAGCACAGACAGAAGCCTGTCAGATTAGACAAGACTGGAAGCCTTCATTTCTTAGCAACGAAGAGTTCACTCAGTTGATGTTAGAGGTAAGAAGAAATTAAATAGATTAGTGAGAAATAATCAGTTCAGTAGAGTAGTTCAGGGATATACAGTTCTTTTTCACCTGTAGGTCCTGATATTAATGATTTCTACTCTGCTGGCATATACAGTACAAACCTGACAGAGAACAATGTTGTACTAAATGCTTTGCTGACACAGAATTAAAAGTAAGATTGCTTCCCCTTAAAGGTAAATGGCTTTTCGTTTGGGAATGAAGAATGATTTGGCCTGGTGAGAGAAGAAAAAAAACATTTCCTTTTCTCAGAATAGCCACTAGAGCTGGCTTTTTTTAGAAAAAAATTTGAAAGGACCTTAAAAAAGCAGAGCAGCTCTCTTCCTCCCATATCACATTAGCCAGGCAGCACTGCTTGTGCTGTCTTTGCAGTGGCTGTGCACTGCTGTCCTCTTGATGGGAGTGCTGCCTTTTCTGCTTGAATTGCCTTTAAGTGCAGTCAGGAAAACAGCTCCTATACTCCCACCTCTAAAATGCTTTACCAATCTAGAAACATCCCCCAAGCCTACATTTCTCCCCTTTTAAGAATGTGGCTCTGGGTTTGTGCTGCATGCTCCTCTGGCAGGGACATCTCCTACCCTGTGTGGGCAGCTGCTGCTCTTTGCCCCACCAAAATAAGGGTGTATGCTGGGCTGAGCTGGGAGGTGCTGCTGTGTCTTAGTTATTCCTTTTCATCAGGATGTCATGACTCACCTCTCTGGAAAAGTCTCTTCATTCTTTCTTGGAATCTCTCTTGCCAAACAAGCTAGCTTGTTCCAGCTGAATCAAAACAAATTCCCCCCTTAGACTGGAAGTGATAGGGGACAGCAAGCCCTGTAATAACTGCTGGCTTGCTGGATTCTGGTAGGCCATTAAACAGTTTGCTTAAAATCAGTGGGTTTTTCCCAGAGAGGACTCAATCTGAGCAAAAGAAGTCTGGAAGTGAGGTGGGGGAGATGGTGAATATAGCGTTTTTGGCTCCCTGCTAAACTGCAGAACAGCCTAACAGTGTCTTTAGAAGAGCTGGCTTTGTACACAGTGCTGACCACCTATTAAACGTCCCAGATATTGATGTTAAAGAAGAATAAGGACAGATGCTGGGTAAACAGTACAAGGAGATATTGTGAAGGACAGGGAGAACACAACATCCAAGGAGAAAAGCACAGGCAGTGACTTAAAAGGGACAGAGAGCTTTAACTCTGGAACGGAAAGCACTGCAAATGAGAAAGGGGAAGCAAATCAAACCTTAAAATTGTTTTGTCACTCGCCTTACAAATCAGTGTTTTAAGCAAAATAAATAAGGCTTTAGAATGTCTTCATATTGTCCATAAACTACTAAAAATACATAATTGTATAATTTTTCTGTCTCTGCTTATCTATCCATCTATGCTGGATTTGCTGTAACATCTCCTTATGCATCAAGTTTGTTAACTATTGTGTAATTCAGAACACATAATAAGGTGACTGAAGTCAGTAAGATTGTGTGGGTGTTGAAATTCTAAGCATCACTGTCTTACTTCATGTTAAATAAATACTTACTGGGTGAAAAATACAAGTAAATTTAATAATAATGAGAATGAGAAAATAAGAATATAAAAAGAATGTTGAATTAGACAGCATGTGTAATTTTTACTTTCCACATTGAACTGTCATTTCTTTGATTCATTTCTGCTAGGTTTAAGCTGTTAGAAGCATCACTAAAGAATCAATTAGTCTAAAATATTTTAAGTTTTTCCCTTGCATAATTTTGTTTTCTTTTTATTCTTTTTTTTTTCTGCCTATTATCATTAGGCACTAGATGGCTTTCTCATTGCTCTTACCACTGATGGGATTATTATTTATGTATCTGATAGTGTTTCATCTCTGCTAGGACACTTGCCGGTAAGTTCTGACCATGCAATACATTGAAGGCTCATTCCCCTCCTTAATGTAAATCAGTCAGTGCAGAATCCAACCAAAGAGGCAACTGACTGCGGGTGGGAGGTCAGCCAACAAACTCTTGTGGAGTTTCTCAAGTTCCTGTGAGTAACTGACTCTCTCCCAAGGTCTATGAGTTAGCTTAAAAAAACCTCAACTATGTAAAATCACTGTATTTATAGCTCACCACCTGACTATACATCTAAAGATCTGGGAGGTGTTTGACCCAGCAGGTTAATAGAGAATCTTATGGTTGTGAATCCATGCTGAAGCTCTTCTTAGATAATGTAAATATTATCTAAGAACTGAATCTATGCTCTTCAAATGACACTGGATTTTTCTACTTTGAGCTCATAGTCTTTAGTAACAAATGTGTGACCTCAGGGTTTTCTGGGAGAACTTCTAGAAACCAGTTAGTTGTCAGGTGCAGAAATTTCAGCTTGGCCCCCTCAAAAACATTTTTCTCTTTATTTGGTGCCAAGCACGAAGCACCAAGGTGCCCTATATGAGGGCAAGTTTGAGCACACAGTTACCTGAATGTTATGTGTGCAAAGAACAAATCTGTGCTGACATTTTGGTAGAACCGTTTTAGTCAGGATATGTGGGTTGATGAGCACTGAATCACTTACAGATCAAGCTGATTTTACCAGATGTTTAACCTAAAGACAAATGGAGGATGTAAGAAGGAGCTCTCTCCCTCTTCTGTGTCATGCTTTCAAAGAAAAATATTTCACTTCTCATCATGCTATATTCCTGTGGTACCAGGATTTCTTTTCCAGCCTATAACTGTCTGAACTGAAGGGCAACCTCTGGGAATCATTAAATCTTTTGCAAATAGATAGTAATAGATAGTAATCCTGGGGTAAAATAGTCTAAAGGTAATATTCTGCCCTAGATCTGTCTGCAGGGCAGATCTGGCTGGGCTTCCTTGTCTTAGGCATTCGTGCCAGACCAGCAGCTGAGGGATGCTGAGGGATGAAAAGGCATGTGGTTGTGTCAGGTTGAACATGTACTGCTGAACATGACAAAGCATTCTTTTGTATCAGTCAGATTTGGTGGACCAAAATATATTAAACTTTCTGCCTGAGGGGGAGCAGAGTGAGGTGTACAAGCTCCTTTCTCCACATGTGCTCATGACAGATCCTGTTGCAGCTGATTTTCTAAATGGTAAGCTCTGCTCTTGTCTGTCAGTTAGAGAAGTTTGCCAAAAGCAAACAGCTCTCGGGGAAGTCTGTACAGAGCTCTCCAGCTGTTTAATGCTCTTGCCTGCCACTTCTGTTTTGATTCATTTGTGGGTCTTAGTGCATCATGTCTAATGTTCCTATGTGCTCCCACTACTTGCTCTTTGATTAGGACAGTCTTTGTTTTACCATTTGCTTTGCCCCTTGGATGGTAGGTGCTTTTCTCCAGGTGGGATGCTAGACTAAGCCTGAGAAAGGAGTGAGGGCTCAAGGGAAAAAAATTTGGAGAAATCCCAAACAGTTTTGGCAGCGCTGTTATTCCTTAAGAAGGTTGCATATCTCAGGATACAAGAGAAGCCCTAATGTAACTTAAGCAACAGCCTTTCTATCTGAACAGTCCGTCTGGATCTGTACTGCTGGTTGCTGCCCCATATCCCTTTCCCACAGAAAATGTCCCCAGGACCAGAGCAGGCAGCAGCATCTTCCCAGTACCTGTGTTTCATTAAGCCTGTGCTGAGCCCCAACCCACTTCCCAGTGGGTTTGGCAAGGCCACCAAGCATTGGGCTCCCCTCCCTGCTGCCCCATAAGCATCAGTGGGAGCTGAGCAGCCTGATGATGCTCTAAGCAGCCTGATGATGCTCTGCCCGGGGAGTCGTTTCCCTCTGGCTGAAGGCTGTGTGGTCTAATCTGTAGAGTTCAGACTTGGGGTAGAAAACTGGATTAGAGCTTGGCACAGTGCCCTTCACTGTAAATGGAAAGGCTTAGGGTTCAGTGCCCTATGGGTCTAGGTTCTACTGAGCAGTGCCAGAGCAGAGTACTGCAGTACCATGTAAGTGCTTTGCATGAGATCCTACATTCACAAAGTCAGGGGAAAATCCTGCTGACCAGTACAGCTAGGGCTTCACGCTCAGTTTACTGGGGTGACTGCAAAGACAAGAAAAAAGGGTGAGAATACATTTCCTAAAGCAGAAACAGCTGATAATTGCTCCTAGTAGTTACATATTTACTTCTGGGTATCAGAAGCTTCCCAGAAGGGTGTGCTCAGATACTACAGCAACAAGGTTGGTAGATAAATTGTGTGAGCTAGCTAAAGTGCAAACTTCTAATAACATTGTCTGTGTCTCCCTCTCTTGCATTTCAGCAGAAAAACAAATAGAGTTTTGTTGCCATTTAGCAAGAGGCAGCTTAGATCCAAATGAACCCCTGATGTACGAATATGTGAAATTTGTAGTGGATTTTAAATATTTTACTGATGGTAAGTTACTGTTCCAGCCTATCTTTGCCTCTCCGCCTCTCTTCTTTAAATTGTCTTGATCTGTAGCATCTTAAAGGCTCTGTTTCTGCTGAAAATGCCCCATAATTGTCAGGGATGGAATGAGCTGTGCATACATTCGATATATTTTTCATACAAAAGTGGTGGGGAGTCTGTTGTTTAGAAGAGTGCACTCTCCTGCATGTTGTGCCTAAAGCTGATACCAGACTGAAAATGCCTCTCTTTGACCAACTGCCAATTGTTAAGCAGCCCACTTCTTCAAATAGCCAGTAAAATATGGTATTCTGTTTCACTTGTGGCAGTGAAACAACACTTTGCAGAGATTAAGTACTTTGAGGTGCCTGTAAAATCCTGAATCTTGCAAATGTTTGCCTAGAGAAAGGCTGACAAGGAGACTGCAGCTGCACACTGTGAGCTGCTCAGAGCTGTCTTACAAAGCCGGGGTACGTGATTACAGCTGTGAAAATTGGAACCTAAAGCGTTGTGCTTTAAATAAAATAAAAATAATTTTTTAAAATAAAATCAGTGTGGATCAGTGTGGCATCACCCTGTGGGTAGGAGGAGTTTGTTGCTTGGATTTCATCAGTTGCTATACCTGTCTCAACATGAGAAGAAAGCTCTCCTTTCTTTTCTTCTTAAATAAATTGTCTGGTTGTTTCTAGTGCCTACACCTTCCTGTAACGGCTTTGAGTCAGCTATTGCACGAGCTTTCAGGTCAGCCACAGAGGAGCAGATTTGCCTGGTAGCGACTGTTCGTCTTGTCACGCCTCAGTTCTTAAAGGTGAGCTCTGTGCAGTTGCCTCTGCCCTGGGGCGCGGAAGCTGCAGTGGATGCTGTGGCACTGCCAGAAGCAGCATCAGCAGCACAGGTTGCATGTGCACAGGGTTAGTAGAGGAGAGAGCACATGGCTGTGGCTGGGAATGGGAGATGACATAAGTATGTATTTTGGAAAGGTAAAGATATAAAGCGGGAGCTGCTTTTGAGAAGAAATGGTTTTGTGATGGGGTGTCTTGGAGGGGGCAGCCTGGGAAGCTCCAAGACAAAGTGGTCAGCTGCACCACTTGGGAATTTGCTGCCTTCAAATATGTGCATCCACCACTCCTTTGTGTAAGGACACCATCTGCATCTCAAAACATCTGAAAAGGTGTGTCATGGCCTCTTCCTGCAGGTCTGTAAATGTCCCATGGCACTGTGCACTGATGACAGGGATAACAACCAGGTGCTGCTTGCTCAAGAGGGCATTAGCCAGCTCAGTTAGAGGCTAGACCTGGATCTGTCATCCATATTCAAATACCAGTATTTGAAAAAACCTTGAGAATTTTGCTTAGAGAGTGCAAGACGAGAGTCTTTGACTATTTATCCTAGCTCTGAAATTCATCTCAAGGTAAACTATTCAGCCATTTTTCATCAGTTCATGCATCTATAAAACAAATCTTACACGTTCCTTAAAGCAAAATAAGTCAAGTGCTTTAAAAGCACTGTATTTTGCTATGGTTTATTATATCAACAAGATGCATCCTAGATTTTGATAGTGGACTCCTTTCATCATTTCTTAGAATTAAATGTCTGAATGTGCCCATTTCTTTGCAGGAGCTCTGCAACACTGAAGAGCCATGTGAAGAATTTACATCACGGCATAGTTTAGAATGGAAGTTTTTATTCTTGGACCACAGGTAAGAGATTTGGGTTTAGTCACTGAAGAATAAATAAAATGTAAAGTTTAAAACCAGAAAACTTTGTATACCTGTTGCCTGAGATCCCAAATGCAATAGTTCTAATTAAATGCAATTTGGTAAATAGCAGTACTCTGAATTTAGCTATTAGGCATCTTTAAATGCTTCACTATTTTCCATATTTTAGGCAAGTAAGAAACCCTGGAAAATGTCTAGGAAAATGTCTAATCTCCTAACCAAGATAATAAATCATTGAAAGTGAGCAGTGTGGGTCTCAATACATTCCCTGTATTGATTTAGCTCGTCTGTTTTACAACTACAGCTTCCAGGAGTCCTTCTAAATATTTTGCTGTGTCAATAAACTTTTGACTTTCACCTTGAGAAATGACAGAATTTCTAAAAACAATAAAAAACAGTGGATTTTATTATTTAATTGTATAGATTAGTTTTTGACAATGCAATATGGTGGGCTAGAATTCAGCTTGGAGAATGAAACAGACTGGAATCAGTTTATTAAGCTGCTTAATTTAGGATTAATTTTCTTCAAAAGAAGCTGAAGGAATTTATTCACTCTTTTACTTCTCTGTATTTGACATACGTGCATAAGCACATTGCAAAATCCTGCCCTTTTCATTATCCCTCCCTTTGTGAGCTTTGTAAAGGTAGTCATTACTAAAAACAGAAGACTAGTAATAAGGTTCTAAGGAAAAAAAAATATTGGTGAGGAAAAAAATCTAAATACCTAAATCTAAATATCTAAATCTTAATCTAAAAAATCTAAATATCTAAATATCTATATCTGCACATTTAGAACAAGAAGGAGAGATAGCAAATAAAAATTAATAATAAATCTCATTTATATAGAACACAAGGTGTGTGCCTCACATCATACCTTGAAGCATGGAGGAACTGAGCCTGCAACAGTCCTACAGTTGATTATGAATGGTTTGGGACAGTCAGATAATTATTCATTCAGATGAGATCTTGCTGGAGTGGCTTTATTAGACTTTAATTGGCCTGTCTGTTAATGCACACTTTTAGAATCAGCTGATTAATGTTAAGTTTTGTAAAAGAGCACTAAGCCCCTCACGTCACTAATGAAATGAGCTGCTTTTCCACAGGGCTATGACCCAGCAGCTCCTGTGAAAAAGTGAGTAGGAGCTTCTTTGAAACTTTTCAGAGTCTTTTGATTAATCTGCGTTATGACTCAGAGGAGTCTCTGTGCTGGGTGCTTGCAGACACTCCAGTCCCACTGATGGCAAGGAAGCCATTGTTACTGAGAGGAAATTAAGATGATACAAATGCTGAGACAGAGTTTGTGACAGCCCCAGATGCAAGCAGTGAGCTCAGACCCCAGAATAAGCAGGAGATTGTGGGAGTTGTCTTATTTAATCACTGATTCCAAACTCTCTCCAGTACAATCTGCAGGACACTGAGAAATGTTACTGTTTCTTGCTGATTTGCATCACGACATGCTGCCTGACAGTGAAATGTGCCATCAGCAGGGGTGGAGTGTATCCAGCAAGAGCTGGAATCAGGGCCTTTACTGTCATGATCACAATTCAAATCAGAGTAAAGACAGGTGCAATAAAAGCATTCTATAGATCTGGATAAACATGAGAAAAATAGGAAAAATCTGTATTCTGGGTCTATATGTAAATATATGTAGAGGAAGAAAACCCCATCAACTTTGAAAATGATCTGTTTCTCTTCAGCACTGTGGTACTGTTCTTATTTTCCCTTCATTTATTAAAAGTTATTTATTACTGCACCCAAAAGGCTCTCTAAAGGCTGTGCATTCCCATTTGCATAGCAGGTTGCAGATCTCAGGACTGGAACTTAAACTGACAAGACAGTTTTTAATTGCTCCACAAGGCATCTCCTTGTTAAATGACAGATGAGGAGGATCTTGTGGTTGCTTTCTCCTATGAAGAGTTCTGGTGATATTCAGGAAAGCATAATACTGATCAGCTTAAATGTTTATCTCATGTGCATCTGAAAGACATTATTGTCTTGAAAATAAACATGTCATTAAAAATAGAAGAAACAGTGATGCATTCTGTCAAAGAGACAGCCAGGAAGGACACTTTAATAAATACACATATTATTATCATTAACAGAAATCTGGGTCACATGAGGAAAAGCAACAGAGTGCTATGAAAAGTTACCTGACTAAATAAAGCTGTATTGTGGCAGAGACCACTGTGTGCTCAGTACACTCCGTTTCAAGGGATTTGCTGTCAAGTGGAGGCCCGGCTGTCCCAGCTAACCCCTTGTGCTGAGACTCAGGAACTCCTGCCTGCACACTGCTCCTCCTGGGACTGCTGTTGAACAGATCCCTAGATCATCCTTCTCCCTTCATTTCCCATTTGGTGCCAGACTGCCCACAGCTGTGGTGAAGAGGAGGAGGTTATAGACCTGCCTGGGCTCTCTGTGGCTGAATAACCACTGTGTCTTTCAAGAGGACAAATGCGGAGCTGAGTGGCTCAGCCAAGAGAGAACGTCACACAGTAATAACCAAGAATCTCAGGATAAGTGAGCCATCAAAACCCATGTGTAATACGCTGAAATAATTTTTTCCTCATGGTTTTGGCCACTTTATGGCCTTCTTCCTTAAGAGCACTCAGCTTACCAGGAGAGGGGCAGCAGGAGAGGCAGGTTTGATAGGCAACATTGTCTTCAGCCTGCCCCATTTTGAGCTATTTACCATTTTGCCCTGTTCCTGAGAAACACACTGAACTTGGCAAGTGAATACTATCAGCACATCCTGCAGCCAGAACAAACAGGTAGAGCCACATTAGCACATATTCTGCCTCACTGGGTGCTTGAGTTGGTGCAGGTTGGTGTACCTGAGTGCTGGGAGATGGATAGTGACATGCTGATACAGGGAGCAGAGACAAAAACAGTGGTTATCTCCCCACATTTCAGTGTTGTTTCACAATCATAAGCTATCAGGCTTTGGTGAAGGCCGTGTTAGGATACCTGCTTTTAAAAAATCTCATGTTTTGCCTAGAAAAAGGAAAAACTAGAATTGATAGCACAGTAGGGAGGTAAGTCATTGCAATGTGCCTATCTAAATACTTCATCAATTCCTTCTCTACCAACCAAAGCAAAAACAGCCCTAAAACAGCCCCATGCCTTATTGCTATCTGTCCTGCCAGCACCGAAAGTTTTGTTGGCTATAGTTTCCCAATGTTTTCCAGGGGAGAAATTACTTTTTCCCAAGCTGGTCCTGACACACACTGCAGCTTCCCACTTACTCTCTCTTCTACAATTACTACCCAGATGATACTTATATCCAACCTACTGGATAATTTTACTCTAGCTCCATGTTGTTGTGTTCAGGATCAGCCATAGAGTTTCTCAAGCTGTATCTCACAAGCATCCTTAATGAATTGAGTCACTCACATACGTACAGTCCTTTCTCTACACCCACATAATGAATAGGCTGTGAAACAGTAAACACACATCTTTTCATTTTCTCAATTTTTACCTCTCCCTTGCTGTATTTTTTTTTGTTTTATATTAAAATACATCACTGCCTATATGAAAATCCACTCCAGATTTCCCTGCCAAGTGAACGAACCAGGTGTTTATTGCTGGTATCACAGCTTATCTGCCAGGATGTCAAAGCATCAAGTTTTGTGCTCACTCCCTGCCCTTTGCTTCCTTTCTAGGGCTCCACCTATTATAGGATATTTACCCTTTGAAGTTCTGGGAACATCAGGGTATGATTACTACCACGCAGATGACCTGGAGCTTCTTGCTAGGTGCCATGAACACTGTAAGTTGCCCTGCCTTTGCAATGTGTCTGTCTCTGATCTCCTTTGTCACTTGTGCAAAACCTTTCACTGTCATTGCAAAAGGCTTTTTCTTCAGAGGCATGCAGTAACTCTCCCTTCCTATGATAGACTGTAGATGATAGATAAGCTGACACTTACCTGGGAGGTTGAAATCTGCAGAACTCAGTCAGATCAGGAACTGTTTGTGTAGGTTTTTTGAACTGGAAGATAACTTGTTTGAGCATAGGTTGTCTCAGAGTGAAATGAGATTAAAAGGTTGGAAGTTAGAACTATCCCACCTCTGCCCTGCGAGTTTTGTTGATTTGTCATAGTTCATGGGGTCTTGCCATTCCCCTGGGCTACAGAGTTAGCCAGGAGGCTCAGCTCAACAAAACACCTTTGGAGATCATCATTTGGATCACCTGTCTGTGCAGTTAGGTGTTGTGAACCTCACTTACTCATTAGTAAAATGCTTCTATAGATTCAGAATCATTTTACATACAAAAGTACTGAACACAGTTCCCCTGTGGGTGAAGATGGCTCATGTTTTGTTGACCTGAAAGGAAAACAACAAAGCAGAAGAGTCAAGTTCAGGCTAATGTGTGAACACCAAAGAAGGTCCATGAAGTTTATTTTTGTGCAAGGAGAAATAGTGTGGCCTGTCACAGACAGAGCAGAAGAACTTGTGTGATTCCCACAGCAATGCACTCAATGCTGAAGAACCATGTCTTGCTGAGGGCTGGAGCTAACATGAGGAAGGGCAGGTGTCTGCAGGTGTGATCTGCTCTTAAGCAGTGTGCAGTTCCTACCAGATGTGAGATGCTTTATTCCCAAGACACAGATTTTTTCCATTTTACTGGGTGCATTTCAGACTGAGATACTGAGCCAGAATTACGTGTGTCCTGTGGTGGTTTTGCATTACCAAGCACTGCAATGAAACATAACTACATACTTTGTAACATGCATCTAGGTAATCAGGTATTTTGCTAAGAAATATTACTTACAGATTTCTTGTTTGGGACACTGTCTGTCTCTCTGCTATCTCCACTTGAAAGGAGTGTTTTGTCAAAAGGAAACAAGACACCCCAGAGAGTGGAACAAGTGGGATGCTGTAATTTCTCTGAGATGCAGAGCAGCATGATGCTGGGACCAAGAAACTAAGCCCACAACCAACCACAACCACAACTAAGACCAATAAGCCCCACAACCCACTGAAGAAAACCTATCTCTGAGCTGCAAACCACCCTCATCTCTACCACAAACCCTCTACCATTTACATATATGAGCTGAGGGACCTAGAAGAGTATGGGGGAAAATACTTCTCTACATGTCAAGTTTCCCTACCCCACTTCCTTGCTGGCTGCTCTGCCCTGTCCAGGCAAAGCACTGGTACAGAAGCTGCCAGGGAAGTGGGTTGCCTGGCTGAGCACATAGAGGAAGCTGTGACAGGGGGACACACAAATTGTGTCAAATGCAACAAAAGTGTAGATGGGAATATTAACAGAATATTTTAGCTGCTCTCAAGTACAGTACTACTTAGTGCTGTTCGCTAAGAAGATGATTCAGATACAAGTGAAATACTTAACCAGACAGTGGCCTTTTGGTAATGCGTGTGCAGTTTGGTATAGACACAAACTGTATTGGGAGTGGGTCAGATCATTAAGTAGAGAATTGATCTGATGATTTATATTCTACATCTCTATCATCCAGGCATTTGTCTTACCTATTAGAAGAATATTTAGACAACACATCTGTACGAAAGGGTCTTTTCATTTTACTGCACAAAGTAAACAAAGTAAAGTGCTGGCAAAGTGACTTAGAGAAGCTGCTTCAGGACATGTCTGCCAGGACTAGGAACTGAGGGATCCCCAGCATGTCATGTTAGCCAGAAAATCTCCGCTAAGTGCTTCACTGTAGTGGGTTTAGCACTTGCTAAAATCACCACTGCACCTACTAGAATTATTACTCATTTCCTGCTGTGAGCTATAAATTAGGAGGGTAAAGCAGGCTCAAAACTTAAAAGGTATAAAGAAAACTTTATTAACAGAACTAAAAGAATAAGAAGAATCAGAATAAAACCTTCAGATTCATTTCTTCTCCCCCTACCCAACTTCCTTTCCCAACTGACAACGTAGAGACAAAACCTGGGATTTTAAATCAGTTACCACCTCTACAACAGTCTTTCATCAGTTCTCATAAGGAGAGGCATTTCTCTTGCCATGCCATGGAGACTTCTCCACAAGAAACAGTTCTCCTGTGGCTTTTAATTTCCACAAATAGCAGCCACCCAGAAAATCTGAAATCATGAAGTTCCTCCCATGCCTTACAGCCTTCCCACAGCTGTGTCCATGGGCCATGTCAAACTTATGGGGCACTATTTTAAGAATAAGCTGTTCAAAAGTAAAGGTTCCCTTCATGTGTCTCTGAGATCATCTTCATTTCTGGGAACAGAGGTCCTCTTCTTCTTCCCCTGGGGGGCAAAGAGTCTTCATCATTCTCATCTCTCTCTGTTCAAGCTTCTCATGGGATCACAGCTACTTAAACATCTGCTTTGCTTCATTATGGATGCCTCTGCTCAGGTCTAGTTTGAACACTCCATCCCCCCAAACTTTTTCATGATTTAAAAGGGATATTCTAGTGTACCATAGTCCATATCCATGGCCTTACCAAAAGAATTCCAGCCTAAGACTAAGGAATCTCCTCATTCTCCTCCCATCTGAGATTTGACTCTTTCTTTATTGACCTTAGTTTCTACATGTCTTCACACTGTCTTTTTCTCTCACTTGAACGAGGATCAGTGTTTTGCAAGTTTCATCTGTGCAGTGGAAGAGTTAATATCTCGCCCAGGCCTGCAGATGGTCACGATGGTTTCTGCCGGGCGGTAGCTGAAGCAGTCACAGTGAGGGATTTCAGGTCACGCTGAAGGCTGTGCCAGGATCTCAGGGGGCCCGGCCAGAACGGTAGCAGCCGCATGGCTGCTCTCCGGCCCCTGCTTCCTTCAATTCCAGCTATGGGCCGATGGCTTCCCCTGCCCCTGCCCGGCAGCCACGCGGCGGAGGGGGTCTGGCCCGGCCCGGAGCCGCTCCCGGGGCCCGG